ACACACACACACATACACACATACACACACACTGATCGAGAGAGAGAGAGAAAGATGCTCTGTTCTAAAACCGACTCTTCTCCCCTTACCTCCACTCTCCTCCATCCCTTCTCCTCTTCATTCCACTTCACTGAATCTCCCCTCCTCCTTTTGAACCTCTCATATACCATCCACACAAAGACACACACACACACACACACACAGACACACACACACACACACACACTCACACACTGACACACTGACACCCTCTTACACACTATTACATACTCTTACATTCACACATCTCTCTTCCCCTCCGTCCAACTCGGTCTCACCTCTGGGGAAGTTGCACTGCTCCCCTACACTGATCTGGGATGTGTTGACCAGGTAGCCAATAGGGACAGTCCATCCCACTGTGGTTCGCATGCCGGGGTGACAGGAGCTGCGTTCGTGCATCTCGAGCAGGGACAGGTCTGATGAGGAGCGACGAGCCATCGCCACCACGTAGTAACTAATACCGTCTGGAGGAAACAAGTGGGAGTCATTTCTCATATCAGGAAGACTTAACCTCAAACACAACACACACAGTGCAAGTATACATGGTATCCGCATGTTCATTTTGACACGTGTGGGCATCAAGTCCTTCTTTGAACTGATTCACTGTTTACTTACTGACTCCGTTGTGCGACTCTCCTGCAGCCAGATCCAGTCCATGGCAGAGGCCAGCAGCATAAATGTCATCTGCAAACATGGAGGCTGCGTCCGCTGTCCCATTCTGAGGAAAACACATTTATCATGTCGGTGTCAAATGGAATAATGGTTTCTTTGGGAAACTCTTCCACAGAGCTGAAATTATTTCAAATGATGTGTATCTTACAGGATCTGCTGTAAGAATAAACCACAGAATATCTAGGGTTTGGGGTTTGGGGGTACAGTTAGAATAAAATGCCACCAGCTAATGAAACAAAGTAATCTTTAAAAAGTGTGAAAAAGGAACTGATAACCCCAAAATAAATCATGTCATATTCTTTGGAATTGATAAGTGTGATTATCACATTCTGAAAAGCAGACTGGACGATCCCCTTTCCCACAGTTCACTGTTCCTTACCTTGATTCTGTCTATACAATCTCTGTTGTTCAGGCCACGGACGCATTCCAACGTTCCTCTAATATTCCGAGCTGTGGCGTTCCCGGCCAAATCCAGACACTTCTGCTCCTCGGCATCAGACAATACACACCAGGAAACTGAAGGAAACAATAGAAAACAGTTGTAAAATAAGTGAAAAGTAAGAGCCCATACCTGCAAACTTTAAATAGCTGCTCCTCATCTCCTGCCTTTTGAAACATCTCTGTTGAACATGCATAGATGATCACAGATGTAATCTACCTGTAGTTTTTGGATTGGTGACACCGCTGACACACAGTAGAGGCAGAATAAGGAGGAAAGCTACAGGCAGACGTCTCTCTAGACGCTCCATATTGGCTCTGGTAGCAAATCTGCTTCGGACAATCTCTCTAACACAACACAGATGAAGAGACGGTGGATTGCATTGAAAAAAGTCACACACTTGCCCCCTTCCTCTCTTATAACCTGGTCCAGAGACAGAGAGGGACCGGAAGAGGGTGTGATGGGGGAATGGGGGGATGTAGAAAGAAGAAAACATCACATTATTCCTCCGTCCCCACCTCTTAAGTCAAAGTCCTCGGTAGATAATCCCTCATGATAGCAGTATAGTATTTCCCCCCTCCAATTATCCAGTGAGACTTATCCCCAGTGGAGACGACGGTGGTGGGCACATGTCGGCTCGGAGCAGTTCAGGTCACCTGGCACTGAGTGTCAACCTGGGGTCTTTAATTAAAAATGTTGCGGACAATGTGTCTCTGTGCTGGAGCTGTGTTGGTGCAGAACAGATACTGGTGGGGGCTCGCTCCGACTCACTGGAGACTAAAGCCCCAGGTAAGCTAGAACAAACAGCGCCAGTTATTGTTCCAGGCCACAGGACCCAGTGGAGGGAAAACATTTCGGCTACCTGATACAATTCTCCATTTTCTCTCTCAAAGGCACACACACACACACACTCTCTCTCTCTCTCTCTCTCTCTCTCTCTCTCTCTCTCTCACCCTCACATACACACTTGGTGACATTTATCTGAACCAAGGATGAAATAAATCTCAACAGGTGAGAAGTGAAATGGATTAATCTTATCCATCTTTTAGTTGCAGTGTTATGCAATTTCCGATCTGCATGGTTGCTCTGGGTCATTGCTGAAGGGTTGTATTGGTTTCCAGTTTTTTGAGAGAGAGCAGGAGAGGGAGGGAGGTGTATGTGACCCTTGGCAGGCAGGGGTGAGGGGAGATGGAAGCACCAAGGGACTTGGAAATAAAGCACTCAAAATACATACTCTGTAGAGAGTAATGGTGAGTGCATATAGGATTGTCCCCTGGGAAGCTGCAGGCAGTGAGCCTCCCAGAGCTCGATGCAGCTTGTGTTGCATTCTGTTGGACGGATGAAACTATAACCAACATTGGCACTTGGTCAGGGGGCGACTATTGATCCGATAATCAATAATAGTTTTAGTCATCTTCTAAGCAGAAATACCAAACATCTGCTGTGGAAATTACCATTTTTGACTCATGGACTACCAGAGGTTTCTCACTATTTTCTCAAATTTTATAGACAAAATTAATTATTAATTAGCCAAAAAAAATATGTGCATTAATAAACATTGGTCGGCCGCAATAAATGCACAGAATAAATATGTATTTAGGTGTGTGAAAAGCACTAATGCTATTTCTCTTCTATTTGAAATGATTGATGTCAAGACAAATATGCCATGCGGTGTAAGCCAAAAGGCAACTTTTCAACTGTTGTCCCTTGGCCAGATTTTTAATTAGCCATTAAAACAACAGTATAACAATAAACATGTGAAACCACAACAGGGAAAAGTGGGTAAATACATGATCAGAGCACAAAAAGCTGAAGCTGAGTGCAGTAAACAATATGCAGATTAGAAAATATACAAAACAACCAATTAATACAAAACAGGTAAACAGAAAATGATAAATGGGCTGCAGTTGTTTTCTGAACAAAACAAATTGTAATGCACTTTTCATTCATCCACAGCTGCACTGTCAATACAAATCTGACAATATATAATCACGTTACATTTAACCAGAAGGGACATGATCTGTCACACATTAACAATGTGTTGATTCACAGTTTTTTGTGATGGTAGTGGAAGATTTCTCAGTTTCAGGTGCATTAGCTCTTACTTTTTCTTTCTGTGTTTCTTCTCAATAAAACTGAATTTCATACATTTTTTTTCGCTCATTCACTGCGACAATAAGTGCGTATCACAGCATCACATGTCGACTGTCACTCAGATCAAATTAACAGTGGATCATGAGACAAACATTTATCTGAATTAATTCAAACTGTAACAAGTTCAGTCAACTCACTGATTTTTCTTTATTTGATAAAGTAAATAACTTCAAATCAATGTTTTATAACATTATGATATATAAAGCAAGTCCCACATTAAGGGCAATTGGGCTTTATAAAAAGACTGAAAGTAAGAATACTGACAAAGACTGACTGACTAATCTTTTTTTTATGACACAGTCAATCATTGCTGGAATTTATTGGACCACTGACCAACATGAAGAGACAATTAATTGATATTTTTCACCTGAAGGTTTCCATGAATGTTATAATAATTACTGTCTGTCTTGCTTCAAAATCTCTGTGGAGCTGTAAACGTGAAATTAGATTACATAGTGAATGCTCACCTACGCACAGAGAAAAGTGTAATTGTAAAAGTGAAAAGACACTCCATGATTTCCCACCTGAGTCTGAATATATGATTTGCTAAAAGATTAAGCTGCTGTACAGTTTATAAAGAAATACAAATTCAAGTTCTGCTTGCTTATTAATGCTTCATAATGATAACAATTATTATGAGCACTTTTGACTTTTACTGGCACCTTATTGCAAAGGGTTTTTTTCTACAAAATACTAAATAAAAATCAATACACTACAAGTTCTGTTCAAACGTTTTTGTTATTCATGTAAATTTATAGACGTATTAACAGCAGAGTGCAGATATATGATAAAAAAAAGTAAAGGTATGCAGAATGTTTTCTTTCAAAGTGTTGATACTATAAAATGATCATTTTTGATGAAATACAGGTATTTCTAAACAGCTTAATGTTGTATCCGTCAACATGAAGCTAATTTTACCTTATTACATCTTAATCTACAAAACTGCATCGTATTTTGTCAAATGAACATATGTTTTATATGTAAAATGTTGGCACCTGGTAATTTCATTTTTTAAGTAAACTAAGTAGAGTGAAAAGCACAATATTTCCTGTTGAAACGTAGTGTATAAATAAAGTATAAATGAAATAAATGAACTGTTTATGAGCAGCAGTTTAAAGAAAATACAAATTGAAATATACTCATGCCACCTATTTATTTTGATTTGATCTTTATTTAATCAGACAGTCCCATTGAGCTCAAGACATCTTTCCCAGGTCAGGCCTGAGGACAACAAACAATCAGCAACAAACAAAACAACACAATCCAAATAGATAAATACAATCAGTCACACGTTTAAAACAAAACATCACAGAGTGAAGATTTAAAACCAGGAGTGAAGCAGCTGAGTAAAAATACTTTCAGGTACAGATCGTGTATTTCCTCTGTGAGCGTCACTACACCGGTGTTGTGGTAATTGTTGTCGCTGCCCGGTGGATGACTGCTCCCGTCCCACAATGCGTCTCGGTGGCAGTGTTGTGGTGACGTCACGGGTAGCTGCGGGGGGACGGCAGCTAGCCGGTGGGCAGGGCAGTGGTCCCGCTGTCGGCTCCTGTGACGCCGCCAGTCGAGCTAACGCCGTCATTTTAAACGTCACACACGGACACGCAGACTCCGCGGGATGAGCTAGAAGCTGCCCCCCGTGTGCGGCAGGTACGTGGGTCCCGATTTTATCGCTGACTTGTGGCAGAAGTCGCCGGAGTGTCCGGCTGCGCTTTGTCGCTGCACGGCTAGCTTAGCTTAGCTTGCAGGTCTAGCGGGCGGCGGTCTGTCGTGCCTGGCGCCGCCGAGGCGCCGGTGGACGGGTCGATAAAAGCGCCTGTCGGTGGCCTGTGAGTCACAGACAGCACGCAGAGCTCCGGGGCGGCAGGTGCTCAGGAGGAGCCGCTGAGAAAGGTGTGTTTTCGTGGAGTTCCCGTCAGAACCAGAGGCTAACACACTGTCACGTATGCTGTTATCTTGCTAGCGGGGTTTGTGTTGTTAGTTAGCAGCGCTACGTTAACTGAGCTTTGCTGAAGCAAAACAATGACACATTCAAAGGTTTTACTCGTGATTGGCTTGTTTCTATGAAACTAACTGATGGTAAAGGCTGAAAGGTTTTATCTTTATTTGATTTGAGATATTTTTTCTTGTGTTTTCAGTTTTATTCTTCGTTTTTCTTTCCTTTTTTTTAAATACACTTACATCTTCTGCACCATTATTGTACAGACTATGTTAGTTTAATGCACAGCTTTGTATTGCTTCAGTTATTTATCTTTATATCTGTATTTATATTTGTCTTTCAGTCACCTTATACTTATTATTATTACTGAATATTATACTGTCAGTACCTCCATTAGCACAGTGAAAGCTTTGTAGGTGTTCTGGTGACTTGACTTCCACTGCAGTGAACTTATTCTTGACTCATTTCGACTTTTTATTATTCTTATCCTCTTGTGTTTGACTGTTTTGTGTGACACTGGGTGCCTTAATTCCCTCGGGATCAATTAAGTATCTGTCTTGTCTATATATATATATATTTGTATTATAGCAAAGTGAGGACCAAACTTTTTAAACTGGCGCTGTATTTTTCCTCATTGTCTTTTGCAATATTTTCTTTACTAAACCTATGACATGGGCAATCAAAGCACTCTTTGGTTTCATTGGATTCAACCATTAGAAGTTGTAGCTTCCTCTTTGTCTTTAGTCTTGTCAGGGATAATCAGAAAACACAGAGGAGCTAAATGTAATTATCCTCTTTACAAGAGTGAACTCATGTGAACTCTCACAGTCTCCTCTTCTTCTTCCTTCCTACTTTCCCTCCTCTGTCAGTGCACTGAAACATGGGTCGTTGCAGTGTCCATGTCCTGCTGCTGCTGTTGCTGAAGGCCCTGCACACATCAGCTGAGGGCTCAGGTACCCTGTTCCAAAATATATTGATTCTAATCACATTTCTTATTATTTGCAGATTATGAGGCATTTTTTCAGTTGACAGTTGGATCTTGTGCACTCACACCTTCTGTGAGCAATTGTTTTTGAGACTTGACATGAAAGATGTAGGCATTGATGTTCTCAGTGACAGCAGGGACCAATTCAATGCCAGGGTTTTGAAGTTGATATTTCCTTAGATCCACAGTAACTATGGCTTGTTCCATGAAATTATCTGGATTTCTTTACTGATTAAAAGCTGGTGTACGGTAAATACTTTGTTAATTAGCAACTAGCAGAATCGATTGAAGATTGAATTGTTGTGGACAGTTTAAATCATTAAATAATTCCCAATATATATATTGTGTGCCATTAGAATTTGAAAAAATTGGATAATTAAGTAGACACTAGACTGTGTGAATCTTGAACAATTTACATGCAGTTCTCCATTTGCTTTTTAAATCGCATATTCTGTAATGGGATGTTGAACTGACTGCACTGTTTTGAAAAGTGTTCTTAAAAAGGGTCTTGCTTTCTTTTGCAATGTGCACAAAGCTGAAAAATGTGAATGGGATAATAAGTAGCAGCTGTTGAATCATTAACTTGGGACATTTATTCTGACAATATGGGATAATTGAAGATTTCTTATTTTATCGTGTTTGTGTATTTTATGACTTCTTCAAATTTAATTTATGGATAACTGCCAATGAAGTGTCTTTAATTGTAAGTGCAGTTGCATTTTGCCAGATGGCCAGCCCACTAGTTGGTGTGAGTGAGAAAGTTTGTGAGACAAAAATCTCTCCATTGGCTTACGACCTTAAATAAATTCAGTGTTAATGTGTTTCTATCTCGTGTGAATGTGTGATTAACTCGTATCATCATCTCCACAGATGGACAGTTGGTATGTTTGTGTGATAGCCCAACATGCCCTCAGGTCAACCGCTGCCAGGGAACCCGGTGCTTCTCCTCTGTCAAAGTGGGCGGCAGCAGGGTGGAGTTTGAGCATGGCTGCCTGAATGGGCCGGAAAAAATCCTCTTACATTGCTCCACAGCGCCGTCCTTCCACCAGGCCCTTATCTGCTGCTCTGAGACCATGTGCAACGGCAACAACACCAGGAACGCTCTCATGTCTCTGCTCCCACCAGGTACATGAATCACAGCTTAATACTCATTTAACTGGAATCAGTAGAACACAGACTTCCACCAAGGCCCAACACCCCCCTAGATTTAATCAAGCTGCACCAAACTGCACACACTCCTAGATATCAGTTCTCTAAATATGCCTTTTTTCCATGAAAAAAGAAAACAAAACGCTCTATCTCACAATGTTTAATGAAAGTGATAACAATTTGTGAATCCCCCCCAAAAATGTAATTGGTTCTTTCTTGGCCTATGTCCCATCCTCCCACCAAGTTTTGTTTAAATCTGTGCAGCTGTTTCCGCATTATCCTGCTTATTGTTTATTCTCCAAAGTGTCCAAAAGACAAGTCATGTTACAATGTATTTTTTCCCCTTTTTTCATCTCTACCCTTGAGAAGATGAGCCAGAGGGTGAGCCAGTTCGGTATCGCGTTGAGACCTTGGCTCTGTTTGTACTCGGCCCAGTGGTGGTTCTGGCTTTGCTCTCTGTGGTATCGGTATTGGCCTGCAGGAGGCTCCACCACGGCCGTCTGCAGAGGCTGCAGGAATTTGACACCGAGCAGGGAGCCATAGACGGCCTCATCTCCTCCAATGTGGGAGACAGCACTTTAGCGGTAAGAATGGCGACAGCATGTAGATGAATTCACAACAAACCAGAGAGAGAGTTAATTGCACATGTAATTTGTCCTGTTGTGGGACTTATGAATTATCTGATGTTGTGGTCATTCCTCGCTTTAACAATGTGTACATTTGTGTTTACAAGGTATTTTTTGCTCCAAGAAATTATTTTCAGTCATATCAGATTTCTCGACCTGCGACATCCTTTGGTTTTCATTTAGGGTTATTGAGAGTGTCTACAAAGGCTTGAATGAGAAACTACATTATTTGAATTCTTTGAATTATTAATACTGAGTTGGTGTATATAGCTTTTTATGTTGAAAAGAATTTCCATAAGCTTTATTATACAACATTTGCAAGTTTTTCCAGTCATTGTATAATTTCCAGTTTAATTTAAAATCATTTTTATATTTGCTTTTTTAAATGTTCCCATTCTGATATTTCCAAGATATAATGGTGAAACTTCCAGTTCATTATTTACAGTCAGTCGCACCTTTTTTTTCCTCAATTAGCATTTAAGTCCCAGGTTTCTGTAGAGCAGGAAAGGATTTTGATGACAGTTGATGCAGAGTGGCTTTGCACCTACATGTGATGTGTTTAGTACTGTGCTCCTTCAGAAGATTATGACATATAAATCTAAACTGATGCCTGTTTCTGTCTGCAGGACCTGTTGGATCAATCATGTACGTCAGGTTCCGGTTCCGGTCTTCCCTTCCTTGTCCAGAGAACTGTGACGAGGCAGATCAGTCTGATGGAGTGTGTAGGTAAGTGAAGCAGAATTGGATTCAAGACTTTTTGATTGGTTTATTCATTGGCTGATTTGGTCTGATTAGAAAACTAATCGAAAATCATAAAAAACATTAATCAAAAAGTAGACAATAGCACAGAAATGGAACTGTATTTAATAGTTTCCGAATAATCAGGAAAAGAAAACCTCATCTCAACATTAGCTTAACAGCAGTGAGCACAGCGTCGGTCTTGTGTCATTCGCAGGCTGTTGTCCTTCATGCTGTTTTGTTTGGCTGCTCATCAGTTTTTTTCAAAGATACTGATGTCTGTGAAGATAATCAATCATTCAGATCCTTTTCATAGTCGCCTCAATTCAACTCTTCTTGGATGATTATCAAACACATCTATTTTTAGATTGTAAATTGTATTTAGATACAACTGTGATAAAAATTTCAAACAGACGACAACAGGGTGAAAAGAAAAAAAGTCCCATCATATTTCCCTGAATTAAATCAATAAAAGTCGCCTGTTACGTACAACACTTGTCTTACAATGGTCATGTTAGATTTAAGATAATAAATGAAAGTATGTGGGTCAGATGCCATGGGATCCTGTCTTGTGCTTCAGTACGATACAGTTTGTACCAGTTTAGAATTGGAAAAATGTGGTCTTGGTGTGGAAACTGTGTTGGAGAAATCAGACACCAGAGAGAGCTGCAACATCCAGAACATGAATGTAGCCATAAAGTAACTTTAAAAGCATTGAAATCACATCCAATGAAAAATGTAGGGGACAGATATCTGCATATTTTCTGCCCTGACTTAATGTGCCATCTTTCATTTGTCTCCCTTCTTTTTTTCCAGGCAAGGGCAGATATGGAGAAGTGTGGCGGGGTCAGTGGCAGGGCGAGAACGTGGCTGTTAAAATCTTCTCTTCAAGAGATGAAAAGTCCTGGTTCAGAGAGACAGAGATCTACAACACAGTGCTGCTAAGACATGAAAACATACTGGGTGAGTCTGTTGCACACACACTTGATGTGAGTTCTCGCTACACTGGAGGTTGAGTGAACAAAAAGCTTTTTTGCATTTCTTTCTTTCCTGGATTCATGCCTGTAAGTGTTTGGTTTTTGCATCATTACCAAGGATATAGTTGAGCTTCAGAGGAAAACAGCTTTAGTGATTTGGTTATCTCAGCTTCATTAAACAAATGTTCTGCTTGAATCACTTTCTTCGCAAACTAAATGTTGCTGTGATCCATGCTTAATTTAATGTCCTTGTGTTCTTGCCACCTTTCAGTGTTTTCAAAGCAAAGGAGAATGCAATGAAAGCAACATGTGCAACATATCGTTATACAATTTAATGAAAATTATATATAGTTTCTGATTCTGTTATATTTCATTCCCATTTTTTCTCCTCTCAGGCTTCATGGCGTCTGACATGACTTCTCGAAACTCCAGCACACAGCTGTGGCTCATCACCCATTACCATGAGAACGGCTCGCTTTATGACTACTTGCAGCGGGTTGCCGTGGAAACGTCAGAGGGCCTGGCGATGGCGGCGTCAATAGCGTGCGGCCTCGTGCATCTGCACACCGAGATCTTCGGCACAGAGGGGAAACCGGCGATTGCGCATCGGGACCTGAAGAGCAAAAACATCCTGGTCACAAAGGAGCTGCGCTGCTGCATCGCAGACCTGGGTGAGTTCTACTCTTATATCTTCTGTGACCTTTTATCAGAGAGATTTAGGTTCTTAATCTAATATTTAATCTTTTAGCCATTTATGGCACAGGAACTAACAGGACCATTATTCATTCAATTTGAAAAATGTTATCTAATTATTAACCATTCAAAATGTAATGTTAGTTTATGTTCAGTATTATACATTATATGTATGTTTTCTTCTTAAATTAAAAAACAAATGGATTAAAACGTGTATCATTGAATGATTTATACCAAAATGCATTGTGTGTCTTTAAGGACTAACAATGTACTGCCTAAGTATATTTACAGCAGAGCTTATTTCTTATGCTTTGAAACCTTGCAGAGTCTGCCAAACCTCTTTGTACCAGGGGTGTATTTGTGTGTGCGTGTGCCACCGGACAGATCTTTTGGAAGTCCTGTTATAATATCATATGTTGTTGCACGTTCCAGGACTGGCTGTGACTCACTTCCAGGCAGACAACCTGCTGGATGTGGGCAACAATCCAAAGGTTGGCACCAAGCGCTACATGGCACCTGAAGTGTTGGATGAGACCATTCAGACCGACTGTTTTGATGCTTACAAGAGAGTGGACATCTGGGCCTTTGGACTGGTGCTGTGGGAAATCGCACGACGCACATACAGCAACGGTGAGTCCATTCCACATGATTGAGTTTTTGGAATCCACTTCAGACCTCTCAGGTTACATTGTGTTTGCTTTAATACCAATGTTCTATTTCCAGGTATCGTTGAGGAGTACAAGCCTCCGTTTTATGATCAGGTGCCAAACGATCCCAGCTTTGAGGATATGAGGAAGGTGGTGTGCGTGGAGCAGCAGAGGCCTTTCATTCCCAATCGATGGTTCTCTGATCCTGTGAGTGTTTTATCTTCACTTTTATTTACCCATGTCAAAGAAATTATCTTTCCTGTTCCCTGATGTCAAAATGCTGTAGGAATGAATCCACTTGTGGTTCAAAAATATCCTCAAAGATAAGCAATCACTTGATTTTCTGAGTTCCTGTTGCGTAATCAAAGTTACATGAAGATAAATGGCCAAATGTGTGGCCAAACAGGTCGCTCTTTAAGAGGTGGTCTGGAACCTGAGGGATCACGGAAAGATTTAAGGGACATACAAGAAGCAGAAACATAATACTTCTAAACATTTTCTTTCCTGAAATACTTTGCTCAAAAAATACAATATACTTTTATATATTTAGGTTTCCAAATGGCCTGAATGAAATGGAAATGGAGAAAGGAGGGGAACATAGTTCTGGATTAACTGTCCCAGGCTCATACACATATTTGTCCTGTTAGTCAGGTCACTCATAAGACATACTTTCCTTTAAACAGGGCACAAGCCAAAACATTTTGAAACCACTGCTTTAAAACATTCAACTGATTTGATTCTCATATCTTGATGATAATAATAATCAATTTTTAGAACAAACATTGGATTCCATTCAGATTCTCAAAGAATTTGCTGCTTTTCTTGGTCTCATAGTTAAGAAAATATTTTGTGGTTTGAAAAAAAAAAAAAAAAAGAAATTAGATTTTAACCCCTTTTGCTCCAGGATATTATACTGTAAGATATTAATAATATGCTGATTAATTGATGAATTCCTTCTCATGCTCTTATGTTGCTTTGGAGACCAGTTAAAAGTTCCCACTACAGCCGTCTTCATTAAGGTACATGGTCGTTGGGGATGTCATTTGTAGGATCAAGACAGATGAAGAATATATATTGTCCCCAATTCCCAGGAGACAGAGCAGTATCCACCCAAAGAACACAGACGATAAGACAATAAATACAATATAAAAGACATTTAAAGGTCCAGTGTGTAAGATGAAAAAGGTGAAAGGAAATTTTAATATAGAATAATCCTCATGATGTTTTCACTAGTTTGTTCCAATTTTTTTTTTACCCCTGAAAAGATGGTTTATATTTAAATACTTTACATCGAGGGGGTCCTCTCTACAGAGGCCAAACTAAACACCTTTTGAGTTTTTATGACAACTGAAGCTACCACAGGTTGTTTTTTGTGTTTGGAAGAGGAGGAGGGGGGTGAGGTGAGGGGTGTTCAGCTGCAACATGCAATTTCAACACTTGATTCTACACCCTGTACCTTTAATCACATAAAAAAACTAATTGCTGGGTTTCAATAAAACAAGTTAGGACAAGTGAGTCACAACTTTTTCTTCCACACACACACACAAGCTGCTGCTGCTGCTGCTCTGTCGCCATTACCAGCGTCACATTCATCATGTTTTGCTCTTTTATGAGCTGGCACTGATGTTAACCTAGTGGATATTTACAGCTGTAACTGCTTAATGATAAACATGACAAGTGATTAGTACTAATACTAGTCAGATAGTTGTTCACTAATACCCAGAATCCGATCATCAGAGTTTCCTCTTACTTTGTGTATCACTGCATGAATTCTTCTTCACTGTCTGTTTCTTTGCGTGTTCCTCCGTCAGACTCTCTCTGCGCTGGTCAAACTGATGAAGGAGTGTTGGTACCAGAACCCCTCGGCCAGGCTAACGGCGCTGCGCATCAAGAAGACCCTGGACAAGATCCACAGCTCTCTGGAGAAGGGCAAGGAGTCGTGAGAGGGAGGGGATCTTCAGAGGCAGCTGCCTGGTGTCGGGGGGGTCGGCTTAGAGACGAACCACGTGTTTGTTCAACGTGATAAAGAGGAAGGACAGAGGAGTTCAAGTGTCATCTAACATCATCCCTCTCATGCTCTCTCACATTCTCTTGCTTTCTCTGTGGTTGCCCCCCCCCCCCCCAGATCCCTCTCTCTGACTCAGATGTTCAGAATTGTCCTGTCAGGGAAAAAAAAACTGCCTTCGCCAAGGGACACAAACCTGTTGCCAATGTGTTTGCACTGACTTGAACTGAGTGTGAACAACACAGATGGCATATTGTAGTGATGCTTTAACGCCCACCTCTCTGTCTCTCACACACAAAACACGACATTCGAAGTCGCTTACAGTTCAGTTTCTGATCCCCAGCCACTGGTTTTGGCGCGTGGTCCGAGCATTTCGCTCAGAGACAATCGGAAATAATTTCTCTCATTTAGCTTTATCACACCATGCCAACAAACGCCACAAACACACACCAAGCACACACTAACAAAAGGAAAAGAGCCAATAGAAACAACTGTTTTGAAACTTTTTAAACGTAGTATGATATTTATGTACTAGAGCTCCACTACTACCACACTACTGAGGATATGTAAGACTGATGGTGCGTGAAATGGACTGACTTTATATACAAGTATTGATGCCAATGAATGTTCTATACCCATGTTGTCATTAATGAAGCTAGAAAGAAACAATTTGTTGAGGAAAAGGAATCGAGCTGAGGAGAAGCACCACAAATGTTACTTGTTTATTCTGGTGCTTCCTGCAACAAACACAGTAAGCTCCTGACAATAGGAATGATTCTGTATCTTATAAGAATATGAACTGACGTGTTCCTCTCTGCCTGACGCGTCATAAACTCACTGTAAAAGTCTTCTCTGTCAGCAGAGAGGAATCAAGGAAGACCTGTTTGTGCTGATTTTTTTTTTTTTTTAAATAAGACACTGGAGGTGAAGACTTTATGTTGCGAGCTGGGCCTCTATTCACTCCTCTCGTCTCCCATAATGCATAACACTGTACAGGTCCCCTGAATAATGGAAAATTAACGCTCCATCTTCATTTGGAAACAGTTTTTATTTAAAAAATACAGTTACTGAGGAGTGTGGTTACAAACAAACTTGTTTTGAAAAAAACAAATTTTGCTTTGTCTTTTTTATATGTAATAAAACATTTACTGCATTCTTGCTCAACTGTTTGCTGTTTTATGATTTTAGAAAACTTCATTTTCTAGGTCATTTTAAAGGAAAGGCTCTTAAAACAGTGGCCAGATGACAGATCTTTCTAACCTGTGGCTGCAGAGTGACACAAATTCTCTGGTTCTTAAGTCAAATGCTGGATTCTACAACATAAAGCTTCATCTTTAATTTATTCCTATACATAATTATCACCTCTGCACCCATTTATTAACAAGGTTTACATTTCCTTGTGTGGGGGATTTAACTTTTCAATTCAAGATGTGATTTTGAAAACTGCTGGCACAATCAAAAGCTGTCCAACAGTTACAGATTGTCTAAGTCATTTTACAGTTTAAGTAAATCCAAATACTAATCATCCTCTGCTACTTGTAGCCTCACCAAAGTTTACAGCGATACATTGTGCCTTTATGTAAAGATGTGAAACTTGCTGGATGTGCAAAACCTGCAGTTCAGGAAGATGACGGCATGAGCTGCATTAAAACCATGTGGAGATCAGTCCCACGTGAGATTCTGAGACATTTTTACTCCACAGCAGCAGCGAGGTTGTGAGGTCATTTGAGGTTGTCTGGTAAAGTCTTGTACGGGTTGAGGATGCCTTTGGGGTCTAGCATGGTTTTGATGTTGCCCATAAGAGCCACGGCCTGGCTGGGTTTACTGTAGTAGATGTAGTTCCTCTTCTTCAGGCCCAGTCCGTGCTCAGCGCTGATGCTGCCCTGGTAACTGGCCGTCCACTCGTAGACAAACGGCTCGATGGCAGCGAGGAGAGACGGGTCTTTGGCAGGAGATGTGATGTTTAAGTGGAGGTTGCCATCACCTTCAGGAGGAGATTGTAAGAGATTGTGTGTGAGTGAAGTAAACGGAATTTCAAAATGCAGATAAATTGTTGTAGGTATTGTAACCAAAGAGATGCCAAGAAAGTCTCTTTCATTCAGGCAACTATTTCCCTTCTACAGACTAAAAAGAATCTTTTTCCATCCTCTGCTCTTACCTACGTGTCCGTACCCCACCACACTCTTGGCTCGGGTGCCCACGTGCTTCCTCATGTCTGTCACCAGCTGGTAGATCTGCTCCACTGGAAGTGAGATGTCATACTTGTACGTGTAGCCCTCGTGAGTCAGCGCCTCTGTGACGCGTTCCCTCATCGACCACAGAGCCTGAACAGATAGAAGTGGGAACAAATCATTATTAATTTCTGGGCCCTTCCCAAAAACTATGGGGAAAAATCCACAGAACTTGGTGGAAGGGTGAGACATGGACACAACATTGATTGAAGAGAGAGCATTCGACTCTGTGCCATTCTAGTTTGTGTTCATCTGTGTCTAAGTAAGTTACCTTTATTTTTGAATCCTCAGTCGCCACAGTTCCATCAGTGATAAACAAAGAGGTCATCGCCTCTTCGAGAAAGTTGTGGAGTTTTTCTCCATCGTGTGTCGCGTCGGATCCAGATGTTTCTATGACGATGTAGAATGGGCAGGCTGCAGGGGGGG